AATAGAATTTCATTAATGAAAAAAATTAAATTTAAAAAATGATCTTTCATCTTTCTGTAATTTCTGGTCACAATCATCTAGTCCTGTGTTGCAATCATATATCTCTCCATTTTCCCAAGCAAACTCTTGTGGTCTAGCCATTTGTTGAATTTCTTTTTGTTGATTTTAGTTGACTAAGTTTATACGAAATTTGCTTGTGGAGGGCCTTTTAATTCCATTCTTGGATTTTAGCCATTTCATAAACTTCTCCGTGCAGACATAAATCATTTATCTTTAGATTTAGCAAATCAAATGTTATATACCTGTTAGCATCCTTTACTTTTGCTTAATGGAATGATGTTGGCCTGTTCCAAAATTATTTCTGAAGGTTTTCCTTTTTTTTTTTTAACCTGTTTACCATGTTCTCCAAGAATTTCTATCAATCCTTTTCAGTGTTAATTTTTCTATAGCTGTCTTAGGGTGATGGACCTTATGTTTTATTAGGATTCCTTCCAAACTTGTAATGGCTCACTTTATAGTTCCAAAAGTATGTATTCAAATCTGGCCTCAGATACTAGCTAGTAATCTGTGTGCCCTTGGGCAAGTCACTTTAACCCCTCTGTTTGCTTCAGTTTCCTCATCTGTAAAATGGAGATAATAATAGAACCTACCCTGAAGGATTGTTATGGATCAAATGAGATAATAATTGTAAAGTGCTTAGCATAGTGCCTGGCACATATTAAGTACTATATAAATGTTAGCTATTGCTAACATTATTTACTAATTTTATATTTACTATTTTATATTTACTATATTTATATTTTATATTTACTATTTCCATTATTTACTATTTTATATTTATATACTAACATTGATATTTTTGAGGTGTTAAATCCTTTAAGTGCATTCTTTCTATTGACCTTTGATTTTCAAATGTTGGCAGTTTTCTTAACATATTCAGCTATAATGTAGCCTTCTCTTTGATATCTGTATGCTTGATATGTCTGGCCTGGAGAAGCCCCACATGTTTGCCTTTTTACATTATGTGAATGTACGTCTGGATGCAAAACTCCAACCCTTTGGTCTCTATCATTCCTTAATGGTCATAAAGAATTTTACACTAACATATCCAAATGACATTTTGATGTTATGATGATGATGATGCAAGTCATTATTGGAAATATTTTACAGCCTACTTATATTCACCAAATATTTTTGTTTTGTTTCTTTTTGCTTCTTGGTCCTCAAAACCCTGATTTTTCTGAGATAATGAAGTTCCATCATTTATAGTCTTACAGAATCATTAGGAAAATATTGGTGTTAGAGAGATGGGCTTTTGTGGTTTGGGATCATCGGAAGTATATCATAATCCCTAGTTTTGGCCTCTCCTTTGGTGGCTTAAATGAAGGTATTTACCTCAGTATCATTTTGGGAGGGGGGTCTCCTTCTCCTTGCACACAGTTCCTGAAAGGGGTTGATGCTACCCCCTGCTGTAGCTCTAATGGACTCCAAACATAGCTTGGTGATCACACTGGTCTCAGGCCTCCTACAAGAACCCTTGCTGCCTCTGCCTAGTTGTTGAGAAGGCCCTGCCTCTTACTGCAGGTTTGAGGGGTGTTCTGCCCTCTTGCTTTGCACATTGACTTAGAGGGCTTGGCTTTAAGCCCTTACTGCCTTGCTATGGACAGGCCAGAATTACCCTTGTCTCAGACCCTGATTTTTGCAGCTTGTACTGGTTTTCCACTCCCCTCTGGTGTGTCCCTTCAGGAGCACCCTCAAGATTCTAGCCCTGGGAGATCAGGTTATGTCTCCCTGCCCGTAAATATACACAAGCTCCCTTGGCTCCTGTCTGCTTGGAGCATCTGTAAGTTTCCAACCATTGACCACAGCTCATGTTGGCTTCCATCCCTCTCTTTGTGACTGGGATGAATGGATTTATCTTTTGTAATTTCCTTCAGTGCTCTTGACCATTGCTTTCTCTGGTGCCCTTTTAGATATATTTTTTGAAGTGTATGTGGAAAAGCTGAGTTCCTTCCTCTAAAATCTTTCACATTGCTTTCTGAACTGGAAGCCCCCTCACAGTGCTTTCCGTGATGCCGGATTCCTTCTTCTCATTGGAGCCTATCTCTTCAACACGTACATTCTTCTGGGGATGTCTCAGATGCAGCTAGGTGATGGTGCAGTGGGTAGAGCCCTGTGCTTGGAGTTAGGAAGACTTGAGTTCAAATCCTGTTTCAGATACCTTCTAGCTGTGTAACCCCAGTTAAGTCATTTAATATCTCAGCCTCAGTTTCCCCATCTATAAAGTGTAGATAATAACAGCACTTATGTCAAGGGTCATGAGGCTCAAAGGAGATAATGTGTATAAAGAGTTTTATAAACCTTAAAGCACTGTATGAATGCTAGCTATTATTAGCAATAATTAATATTTATTTGTGTAGCTTTTTATATTTTTCAAAGTGCTTTTACATGTATTTACTTCTTTGATTTGCACAATAAACCCTCTATAATATAGGTATTATTACCCCCATTTTACAGATGATGAAACTGAGGGTACAAAAATAAAATGACTTCCTCAGGGTCACCTACTTATTAAGTATTTGAGTCAGGTTTCAAATGCAGGTCTCTCTTGATTCCAAGTCTGGTACTCTATCCACTACAGAATCTGCTATAATCTTAGAAGAGTAAAAACACAATATAAAGGGCCATTGTGGGCTTGAGCATGTTAAAGTATGTTTAGGATTATTTACTTGGGAAAAGTTGTATATAAAAAAAAGATCAGGTGGCAGACATGCATGACTTGAAAAGGAAGTGGGCTGTTTATTTGGTGAGAGACAAGAGGTGGAGATGCAGAGGGATACACTGTTGACCTCATGATATTAAAGAACAAGACAAAGGTCTACAATGCATTGAATGGGTACCTCTGCAAATGCATGGGAAAACAAGGACGAAAATCAGGGTCACAATCTATATCAGTGTACAGGGTTACCAGCATAAAGAGAGTTATGGGGGCACCAAAATACCAACTCTTCTGGCCTCAGACGCTTCCATTCTAGCCAAGGGTGAGCTGGTTTAACAACTGGCTTTCTGAAAAAAATGCATGCACAACACAATTTTCAGTTTAATCTTTATTATCAACACATTCTCCATCACTTTCTTAAGTCTAGGCAATCAATAAAATAATAAATCAAGCCCTGATTTGTAACTTTTGCTGATTTCCAAGGTGAAAATGCTTGCACTGAAAATTTAACGATCAGCTCTTGGAGCTGGTTCAAAATGGCTCCAACACACCTCTGTTTCTATCCTTCCCTCTCCCCTGCAAAGATCCTGTTTGCCTGAAACAGTCTAGACAAATCATTGCAGTAGAGTGGAAGGAGAGTCAGATTTGGAATCTGAGAATTTGAATTATAATCCTGACTCTGACAAGTACTTCCTGCATGACTGACTAATTTGCTTCCCTCTTCTGAGGCTGCCATGTCCGCGTCTGCAAAGTGGGGGTAAGTGCCTTGTGTTGGATGATTTGTGAGATCCTTTCTGTCACTCAAACTTGCTAAGGAGAAAATGGAAATGTTAGCATCTTTTCAGTGTGTTTTGTCTATGCAATAGGTGTCATAAAAAGTTGTCCAAACCCTAGAGTTATATTTCAGGATGAGCCAGGTGGATTTCCTTGAAGGAGAAAAAAATTGAGATGGGTCTGTTACAAACAAGTAATCATGTATTTATGTGCATTGTAGTGCAGATAACGTTGTTGTTGTTTATCCTTCCTTTGAAGATGACCAATGACATCATGAGGGTGCTGTCTTAACTGGGGGTGAATTGAATTTAATTGAGGCAGAGCTTGGGAAAGTCATCAGTCTCTCTCCTCCAGAATGAAGTATAATTTTAAGAATGGAATCAAATTATTCAGAGCTATAACTAGAGGAAGGGCATCTAGGTGGTGTAATGTTGGAGTGCAAGGCCTGGAATCTAGAAGACTCATCTTCCTGAGTTCAAATCTGGCCTCAGACACTTACTGTGTGACCCCTTGGGCAAGCCACTTAACTTTGTTTACCTCAGTTTCCTCATCTGTAAAATGAGCTGGAGAAGGAAATGGCAAACCACTGCACTATCTTTGCCAAGAAAACCCCAAATGTCATGAAGAATCAGACGTGACTGAAAACCAACAAATAACTAGGTGATATTCTCAGGATTTTGCACCAGGCTATCAAACTTAGAAGGTACTGAAAGTACTTAAAGTCAGCCACTAAATATTAAGTGCCTACTAGTGTCAGGCACTGTGCTAAGCATTAGGGATGCAAAGAGGTGAAAGACACTTCCTTGCCCTCAAGGAGCATAGCAACAACAAAGCTTAGTGCATAGTTGTGTTGTCATTATCTAGTCAGACTCTTCTTGACCCCATGTGTTTTTTTGGGGCAAAAATCCTGAAGTGGTTTGCCATTTCCTTCTCTGGCTCATTTTATAGATGAAGAACTGAGGTAAACAGGATGGATGCCCAGCTAGTAAGTGTCTGAGACTGTATTTGAACGCACAGATATGAGTCTTCAGACTGGACTCTAATCTTGGTACTCTATCCACTGAGTGATCTAGCTGCCCAGAGCTTAGGTAGTAAGAAGAATTAATTCAAATAGGAAGCTACTTGGGTCAGCTAGGCCCTGAAGTCAGGAGGACCTGAGTTCAAATCCAGCCTCAGACCAAACACTTGACACTTACTAGCTGTGTGACCCTGGGCAAGTCACTTAACCCCAATTGCCTAAAAAAAAAAATTAAATCATCAAATAGGAAATACTAGATGGCTTACTATCTCACCTTCCTGCCTGTGACACCAACTATGGTGGCCTTTCTTGTGTTGCTGCAGGATCTCTGCCCTATTCTCCATGTCCTTCTTGTAACTGACCTGGAGTCTCCACGGCATTCTAACCCCTCCTGCTGCCATTGAACTGAGAGGACCCTCCTACCCTAGGAGTAAAAGTTGTTTGTTACAGTTCCAGTTGCAATCGTCTCATTTTTGCTTGCTTTTTCAGCACGTGAGACTAATGAGACTCTGGGAAACCCAACGTTGGATCCAAATCTGCTGGAAGAGTTACTGGAAAGTGACTTTGTTTTGGGAGCCTTGTGAGTAGTAGAGGCTATTCCAACTTGTTACCTTTGGACCTCTACGGGTTGTGGGGGAGGGGAGTGTCTGTCTGTGCCACTGGCCCATAAACCATTCCTGATATCCCCTTGAGGGATTCCAATATCACAGAATCCTTCATCAGGTGCTTACTTTCTGTACACAGAGCTTGCTTATATGTTCAATCAGTTACAGGAATATCGTCCTTGGGTTTTGTTAAAGGGTTAAATCCACAGGAAGGAGTTGTGTCGTCTTGGGTTTTAAGGATGGTTTATTTTTTGCAGGATCAGGAAATCACTGCATCTTAATTTTTGAAACTTTGCCACATAATTTCAGACTGAAAGCGTCTGACACATATTAGGCACATTGTAAATGCTTATTGATTCTTAACTTATTTTTAAGTGAGGAGCTAATCTTTTGTTCTTCTGCTTCACCCCCCACCCCACCCCAACTCTAGTCTTAATGATGCCTTTATTGAGGTAGGGGTAGAAAAATTTCAAAAAGTAGATACAAAATGTTCTAACTCAGTTTAAACACACACACACACACACACACACACACACACACACACACACACACCCTTCTCTGTCTTTAATATTAATTTAAAAAAATAGTTTATGTATTTTTAGTTTTTAACATTCACTTCCATAAGATTTTGAGTCTTAAATTTTCTCCCCTTTCCTCTCCTCACCCACCCAAGATGGTGTGCGATCTGATATAGGCTCTGCTTACACATTCATATTAAGCATATTTTCCCATTGGTCATGGTGTAAAGAACAATTAGAATTAATGAGAGGAACCACAAGAACAAAGCAATAAAACAAAACAGCAAAGGAGAGCAAATAGTCTGCTTCCATCTGCATTCAGACTCCATAGTTCTTTCTCTGGATGTGGGTAGCAATTTCCATCATGAGTCTTTTAGAGTTCTCTTGGATCCTTGCATTGCTGAGAAGAGCCAAGTCTATCAAAGTCAGTCATTGCACAGTGTGGCTGTTACTGTGTACAGTGTTCTCCTGCTCATTTCACTCAGCATCAGTGAATAGATCACTTTTTTAAAAAAGATTCAAGAATATATTGAAACAGTGGTAGGTACAATTTTAGGAAGCATGAGCCCATTGAAAACCTCACCCTTAAATAGACCCCTCAGTGGTAATCTTGCTGCCTAGAGTACAATCCACAAAATACATTTGGGCAATGTATCTTTGTAGGGGAGAGACCTTGAACCAAAAGCCCTAAGGGGAGGAGGGAAGTTATCAGGATAGATAAGGCTGCTTCTGGGGAAGGTAAGGCCAGATGGAGTAGAGCAGGAGCAGCCGTGGGAAGAACTCACCTGATGTCTAGTTTCAGAAGTAACAGTCCTCTTAAATTAGGTTATAATTATAATATTATTCTTATATTAGCTAGTTATTCTTGCTATCTGGGCTGTAACCTTAGTTGGTTCTACCCAATGAAGTAGTACAAATACTATAAGTGCTTTCTAAATTTTGGCACCCTAGGACAAAGGCCCAGTTGCCCTACCCTAGTCACAAGTTCGTTCATTCTATGACTCACCAAAAGTTATGTATTGACAGCCTATCTAGGCTCCAAAGTATTTCCAGTCCTCTGAGAACAGTATTCAGATGTTTTCGATATCTTTCAATTAGAGATGGTTCTCAGGCAGGCATGCCTTATTTTAAGTAGGTTTTAGCCCCATGTGGAATCACCCACATACCTACCAGGAAAATCAGTAAAAATAAAAAATAGAGTGACTACTTCTTGGGAATCCCCAAACCACGCAGGAGTTATGCTTGGCACCTTCTCAGAAAATTCCAGTGATGCACTTTGTTATTATTGAAATTTTGAGGTCTCCTTTACTCTTGTTAAAGCCCCAGTTCTGTAGGATTCTGCTTGCTTAGCCTTGTGTCCCCTGCTCTCAAATCATTTGCTGACCTCTAGCTCTTGGACCTGACTGCCTTTGGGCCTTAGCTTTCTTATTTTTGGCTGATCATCTGTAGCAATGGGTCTGGGATTGCTGGATCAGTGTTCCTTGTGATGAGGGGATACCTACCATCAGAAACAAATTACAAAGTAAAACTGAGGAATATCTAATTCTGGTTAGGGAGCAGAAGGACTTGAAAGTACAGGTATAGTTTTCATCTCTTCATTTAATCAAAGGTCAGGTCTTTGGAAGAGAAAGTCAGATATGGAAAATGAACTGCTAAGTAAATGATTCTGAAGAATGAGATTTGGTTTTCTTTATCACAGACCAAAATAGCAGAATGGTAAACTAAGGACTGAATTTCATGGTCCCTTGGGCCTAGGTATGTCAGTAAGAGGGAGAAAGTTTGTGTCAGGGATTAGCAAGAGATGAACAGATGCCTGTCCTAGCAGATGAGTGTGATGTCTCCACAAGCCTTCAGGGAAGAAAGGCGGGGTAATTTAAATGCGGTGGTCCAGCTAAGGAAACAACAGATGATGCAGTGAACCTGTCCAAGCACATAGCCAAGAATCCAGTGAGAAGGAAGAGACTAGATCTAAGAGGCAGCTTAATCTGAGCTGGAATCAGGTTTAATTCCTCACTCTGACATTTGTTTTGTGGGTGTGGGTGACATGAGATCATAACTGTATGCCTGGCACAGAGCAAGTACTCTATAAATGTTAGCTGCCGGTATTATTATTGACTAATCTCTCCGACTTTTTGTTTCCACTATGCCACTTGAGTGTAAGCTCTGGCAGGTTCTCCTAAGCTTGAAAGGTTGTGAGTATGGGCCTGGTGATAGATTGAGTGTCTGTCACTGAGGACCAGCAGAGATAAGTTTGGAGATGTGTATCACCAGGTAGGTAGCAGTATGATGGATTTTTTAGTAGCAACACTCTTAAAGCCTAGCTAGCTATTGAAGGTGGTAGGAGGAGCCTAGCTCATACTATAATTATGCATGGGCTTTCTAAGTTTGAGAACATTTTCCTCTGGATTCTGTATGTACTTGTAGGAGGTAATTTCATAGACTTTTGGGGGGATATTTTGTACAAACTATTCTTACTATTATTGACGCTCAGTCATTTTTTTCAGCCATATCCAACTCATCATGGCCCTATTTGGGGTTTTCCTGGCAGAAATACTGGCGTGACTTGCCATTTCCTTCTCCAACTCATTTTTACAGACAAGGAAACTGAAGCAAACAGTGACTTACCCAGGGTCACATAGCTTGTAAATGTCTGAGGCCAGATTTGAATTCACGAAGATGAGTCTTCCTGACTCCAGGCCTGGCACTCTAGGCACTGTGCCACCTTTATGCCCAAAGTACTATGTAAATGTTTTTGTTATATAAGTGTAATATATTCTTGTCTTGGTTTGAGGATAAATTTATCTCTCAGTTTCTTTTTTTTTTTTTAATGCTTCAAGCCTATGAAACACAGGCTGATATTTTAAAGCAGGGTTTGTTCACATTAGTTCTTAATGGGGCAGCTACCCATGAAAGATCATTAAAGTGTGTTATAGTAAAAAACAAAACAAAACAAAACAGTACCGACTTTGGGGCCAAGGGATCTGGGTTCAAATCCTGACTCTGCCATATCCAATCTATGTGGTCCTGGGCAAGTCACACTTAGCTTTAATCAGCTAAGTATCCTCCTCTGTAATATGAGGGAATTAGACCTTGATGGACTCTGATGACTGCTAAGTGGTGCAGTAGATAGAGTCTGGGCCTTGGAATCAGGAAACTCATCTTCCAGAATTCAAATCTGGCCTCAGACACTTATTAACTGGGTGACCCTGGGTGAGTCACTTAGCCCAATTTGCCTCCCTCATCTATAAAATGAGCTAGAGAAGAAAATGGCAAACCACTCCAGTATTTCTGCCAAGAAAACTCCAAATGGAGTCACCGAGAGTTGGACATGACTGAAACTCCTGAACATAAGAACCATGTTTCCTTCATCTCTAAATCTGTGATCCCATGATTTGTCCAGAAGGTTGTTCACTCCTTTTTTTTTTTCCTCTTGTGGCATTGGAGGTGGAGCTGAAGAGAATTAAGTAATTCCACTATTCATCTACCAGCTTTCAGAACTAACTTGGCTCACAATTCACAAAGACTATTAGAGTTCAGGGTCATTTAAACAGATAATTTGAATGAGATCAGATGATCTTCACTTAACTTTGATAACATTTATCCAAGTATACGCTGTGAGATAGAATAGCAATAAAAATCTAGGGAAACAGAGCAAAAGGTGTGTAGTCCTGAATGCCAAGGAAGCTGATAACAGGAAAACTATACTGTTCAATGACCCTGCTCCACCCTGTGCACAGCAACATCACCTTATAAAGCAACTTGACCCAGAATGAGTTAAGCATATGTGAGATCTGCTTGTTCATGAGTTCCAAGAAACAGAGCTATGTTGGAGACTCAGGAAAAGATTCATTTTGAGACTCTACATGTAGATTTTTCAGGGCTCAAAGGTTTTTTAAAAAATGTAGTTGGTGATTCTCTAAGTAATGTTCTTTTTTTCTGGTGAACCAATATGTAAGAGGTAGCCTGGGATCATGAAGTCAACTTATCCAATTCTAGTTTTTAACAGATTGTTTTCTTCTGTTAGTTTTTGTACTTCCTTCTTCAATTGGCCAATTGTATTTTTAAGGGATTTGTTTTCTTCAGTGTACTTTTTTTTTTTCCAGTTTGCCAATTGTGGTTTTCAGGGACTTGTTTTCTTCAGTGTACTTTTTTTTCCAGTTTGCCAGTTGTGTTTTTTAGGGACTTGTTTTCTTCAGTGTACTTTTTTTTTTCCAATTGGCCAATTGTATTCTTTAAGGACTTCTTCTTCTCTCATTAGATTTTAAAATCCTTCTTGAGCTCTTCTAAGAAGGCTTTTTGGGCTTCAGACCAGTTCATATTCCCTTTTGATGTTGCAGATGTGAGTTTGTTGACAATGTTGTCCTCTTCAGAATTTCTATCTTGATCTTCACTCTTCTCATAATATGAATCTATGGTATGTTTCATTTTACTTGTGGTTTCTTTATTCCCTGGTCTTT